TCTAGTTTATCGGATCATACACCCTTCGGATGGGGTCAAACGTCCAAGGTGCCCAATATACCTCGAGGCCCAATCAAGCCGGTGACCATAGCCACAACCGGAAAGGTACATATCACTGCCTGTTTGGCAATGATCAGTCTTGTATGATAAGCGATAGGATACAATAAAAGACAGTTCGATGTTTGTAGAAGAATAACTTGTAAACTCCGTATCCGTAGTAAATCAATATGCTTTTCCCAACTCAGAATTTAGATTAGGAAGCATGTTGAACCACCGTGGTCCGGATGATGGATAACTAGTTAAAATTCACTCAAGGAACGACTACCATAGAAAGACCCGATAGATCAGTGTCACCGGTAATATTGTGTGAAACAGGTTAAAGATCGAAGAATGAGGATCTGCAGAAGAAAATGTGGGGAAACGGAAGGAATTTATCAGTATTTGACTGACTCTAGGTGCCTGACGAGGTTCCTCGAACAAGTAAGGCCTATTCTATAATAGAATCCTAAGCTTTTTCCGGGACCGAAAGACTTACATATGATTTGTTCTGGTGGAGCGAGATTTCCCTTTTTTGACCGACTATGAACACGAGGAAGTAAATGTTTCAGTTTTAATAACGAATCATAGGTTCATTTAAAAGTTCAATTAAAAACTTTTCACTTGATAAACGACAGTTTGCACGGAAATCGAGGACATTTGAGCTACGATTATAATGTGATAGCGCAACGATTCTTAACTCACCTGTTCCAGGTCTACAATGAACGAGTGCACATTAGATAGCATAGCCGCGCGTTGAACTTCCGCATCGCTTGCATTCAGACGACCGAATCGAATGTTCTGAGCGATTGTTCCGTGAAAAAGTTTTGGTTCCTCTGGGACAAAGCCGATTTGTCTTCGAAATTGGCAACTGTCCAAATGCTGCAAGTTTATTTCAGATATTCTAATCTGAGCCATATGGGAAAAAGTGACAGGGAAAATACCATTTGGGTAGTTGTGTATTCCAGGCACATGCAATATCAGTTTGGTAGTATTGAGCATAACCCTGCAAAAGGTTACTTCGTGGGGTAGGTTTATGGGAATACTATGCCAATCACCTCTCTCTCACACACATCCGTACTGGGCATAAGCGTCTAGTTAAATGGGTCTACATTTTGTCTTCAACCGCAGCTCAAAATTTGTAAACCTTGCACTTACGATGGAACTTTATCAACATGTTTCATAAAATCCATGTATATATTACATATTTCCATAAACGTCTGAATCCAGACTGTGTCAAACAAATCATGGTAAAATAATCTTTATGGAAAAGAGAAAAGTTACACGACTTGTTTTTGGGCCAAATACTGCCAGGCTGATCAGGCCAAGGCAGGTGAATTTTCTTGAGGAATCTACAACCGGAGCCTTTGAACAGCTAAAGCCTGACCCACAAGGCAGCGGGTCGGTGTGTGAAAACTGAAATCCAGCTGGGGGCCGGTGTCTAGTTTATCGGATCATACACCCTTCGGATGGGGTCAAACGTCCAAGGTGCCCAATATACCTCGAGGCCCAATCAAGCCGGTGACNGTGAATTTTCTTGAGGAATCCACAACCGGAGCCTTTGAACAGCTAAAGCCTGACTCGTGATGTAACGAGACGGTGTGAGAAAGCCGCAATCCAGTTGGGGGCCGGTGTCCAGTTCATCGGATCATACGCCCTTTGAAACTCCAAGGTGCCCAATATACCTCNATCCAATCGAGCCGGTGACCGCTGCCACAACCAGAACGTTGTATGTGTGGTTTGTACTTCTCCTCTTGTTTGGTTTAGAACCAGAGTTTTTGGCTTACTCCCCTGGGTGAACTACCAGTAGTCCACCAATCCGGTTATAGCCCGGGATATCGGCTTTTCGTCCTCTCACGTTGGTGCGAAAACACTGCCACGAGAACGCAGTGAGTAGGGCGTCCTCAGCAGAAGCTATTCGAGACGCTTGGTCGTATGAGAGCATTTCGCGAGGTGCAAGGGAAGGGTGACCAGCAGCAATTCTGAGATACCCATCCCCGACTATACTGAGGCTTCCAACCGATACAGGACTTCAAAAACTTATCAGTTTTCATTTGTGCAATCATAGTACTAATTCAGGAATCAGATAACTAGAATGAAATAATATAGTAGATTTTGTGGTGTACAGAGCAAATAAAACGTACATTGAAAAGCTAGGGAGCACTGGACAGTTGTTTCGACCTGGTTGGGTCTCAACCGCAGTAGTGGAATCCATCGACCGAACTGAGGATCAAACCCCGGACCTGACAAGCAGAACGCAAACATAATACTCACTTGACCACGGAGCAACTGATCAGGCCGTTCTCACTTTGTCCAGATCCTCAGTTTATGCTTCACTGCTCTGTACACGAAGAAATTCAGCCCCAATGCAAGGGGCTTGATTTGGCTGAACTCAACAAATAGGCTAAATTGCTAACTGCGAGAACTGTTGATTTTGTTGTGAATCTGGTAACACCCTAACTTGTAAAGTGCACAGCCAGACACATTACTTAAAAGTTTCCCTAAAGACTCTGATTTGGAAGCAAAGATTATTAGCCTGTGGACTGTGTCATGGATCAAGGCAGCAAGACTATTTGTGCAAAAAATGTGACACTCATGCCATCCTCCAATTTCGATAAACTCTGCCTAAAATGACATGGACAGACAGCTTCAAAGCATAAAAACAGTCAAATCCAAAATCGGAATTGGGTCACTCACTTCTCCGGAAGATGGTTCATAGAATCGCAAGAGTAGTTCGAGAATGGTACTTTTGCCGGATCCCGGTGGCCCGACTAATGCCAGCGTATGATTTTGCT